ATTTGTTGAAAAGACCTATTCTTTTCTCCATTAAATTACGTTGGCAACTTTGTTAAAATCAATATAAGTATCAATTTATTTTGGTACTCTCTACTCTGATCCATTGAGCTATACTTTATCTTACACCAATACCATACTGTTTTGATTACTGTAACTTTATTATAAATCATAAAATTAGAAGTGTAAATCCTCCAAATATGTTCCTTTTCTCTTTAAAAATTGTTTAAGCTATTTGAGGTCCTTCCAGTTGATTCTACAAAAACAAAAAAACCCTGAAATTATATTGAATCTAAGGATTAATTTGGAGAAACTGTACCTTAATAATATAATCTCCCAATGTCTAACCATGATACAGCTTGCCACTTCTTTAGGATTTCTTTAACTCCTCTCAGCAGTGTTTTATAGTTTTCAGTGTAGAGTTCTTATACTTCTTTCTTAATTTATCATTGAGAATTGTATGTTTTTGACTCTATTGTACATGGAATTATTGTATGCATTTAATTTTTTATTTGTTGATAGGATACAGAAAAACTGGCTTTTGTTTATTGACCATATATGCTGTGACCTTGCAAAATTCAGTTATTAGTTACAATAGCCCTTATGCAGATTTTCTACATACATGATCATGCTATATATAAATAATGAGAGTTGTACTACTTTCTTTCCAGTCTGAAAGCTTTTTCTTTTTCTTTTTCTTGTCTTACTGTTCAAGGGCATCCAGTGCAATGTTAAATAGCAGTTTTGAGGGACAGCATTCTTATTTTTCTTAATATTAGAGTTTCATCTTTAAATATGGGTTGTCTCTTGATTTTTATAGACTCTCCTTATGAGGTTGATGTAATTCCTTTCTTTATCTAGTTTACCAAGAGATATTATCTTAAATGGATGTTAAATTTTGTCAAATGCCCCTATATCCATTGAGATGGTTATGTTTCCTGTTCATTCTGTTAAATGTAAAGAATTACATTAATTTTTGTTTGTTTTTATCTATTCATTTATATTTTGCCTTTATTCTGATAAGGTGATAAAATACATTAATTATTGATTTTTTTTTTTTTTTTTTTTTTTTTTGTGGTACGCGGGCCTCTCACTGTTGTGGCCTCTCCCGTTGCGGAGCACAGGCTCCGGACTGCAGGCTCAGTGGCTATGGCTCACGAGCCCAGCTGCTCCATGGCATGTGGGATCTTCCCGGACCGGGGCACGAACCCACGTCCCCTGCATTGGCAGGTGGACCCTCAACCACTGCGCCACCAGGGAAGCCCTATTTTTTTAATGTTAATATTACATTAATGGGATAAATTCCATCTGGTCTTGATACCATAAATTGTGTTGCTAATATTTTATTAAGGATTTATGCAACTGTGTTCAGGAAGGATGTTGACCTCTAATTTTCTTTTCTTTTAATATATTTCTCTGGGTTTAATACTGGGATATATAGGGTTGAGAAATGTTTCCTTCTCCTCTACTCTCTGAAAGGGTTGCAGAAAGATTTGTATAATTTATTACTTAAATGTTTGATAAATTCACCAATGATTCCAACCTGGACCAGAAGTTATTTTTGAGAGGGTTTATATTATGAATTCAATTTTTTTTCTTAGGTATGAAGCTAGTCAGAATTTTTAATCTTCCAGTTTGGGTAATTTGTATCTTTCAAGAAATCCATTTATTTTATCTAAGTTGTCAAATTTATTGGCATAAATTTGGTCATAAAATCTCTTATCTTTACATGTCCATAGTATCTGTAGTGATGTCCTATCTTTTATTCCTGATATGGGAAGCAACATATGTTAGAACACTTGATATTGTTCCAGAGCTCACCAACACTCTATTAGTTATATTTTCCAGTTTTTTCCCCACCCCACTTCAGTTTGGATAATTTCTATTATAAAGTCTTTAAGTTAACTGATCTTTTCTTTTGAAATGTCTAATTTCCTAGTAATCCCATCCAGAATATTTTTTACTTCAGATTATTTTTTTTTCAGCTCTAAAAGTTTCATTTGGTTATTTTAAATCTTTCATTTTCCTCCTGATTATGTTAAATTTCTTTTAAATCCTTGAAATATATAAACATTCCTTTCATTATACTTGGGTCTGTTTCTAGTGACTGATTTTTCTCACATGTCTAGCAGTTTTGGATTAGATGGTTGACATTATGAATGTTATATTGTTGAAGATCTGTATGTTATTCTCTTTTAAAGATCTAGATAGGTTTTGTTTGTTTGGTAGGCATGTAACTTATTGTGGGTCACCCAAATTTTTTGAGGCTTATTTTTAAGCTCTATTAGGAAGGTTCTATAGTAGTCTGTAAAGATAGTTTAGCCCTATTAGGTTTACCTTTTTAAAACCTCTATTTAGTATTTGGCCACAGACTCAAGAGTTTCCTCCATGTGATTTTGGAATTTCCTTTTTATGTACTGCTTTCCTTTCTGGTGCTCTGCCTTTTAAATGCCAGCCATGTTGGCCTCCCCACACACTCATTACTCTGCTATATGCAACATGCTCTGCTTAGATCATGCTTCCTTGCATTGCACTGGAAAGTGCCTCCAGCCAGAAAGCCAGGGTAATATTAGGGCTTGTTTTTCCTCCCATCTTAGTAATCACACACTTGGGCTGCTTGTTGTTCAATGCCTGTAAACAATTGTTTCATATTGTTGACCTGAAACAATTAGACTGTCAGATATTTTTCCAGCAAAGATGGCTTTATTCGAGATCAGCAGAGAATTGCAATTTGGGATCTGCAAACATGGTGAGCCACCTGCAAGCCCCCACATGACAAGGTTAAGGAGATTGATTTTGTAGAGAGAAAAAGGAAGTCGGGAGGGCTATAGTAAACAAGTAGTCCATGGATTTTCATTGGCTGAGTTTTTGCAAGTAAGGAGTCTTTCTTCTTCCTGTTAGGCTCTGCTCTTGTCACAGAGTGTGAGAGCTTCCCCTTCTGGTCTCCCAACTCTATTTAATTGAGGTTTCTGTTTATTAATTTTTTAGAATATATAGTTCAATTTTCCAATCATTTCCTATCAGGCAAATCTGGTAACAGTTGCTCCATCATGACTAGAGGTGAAAGTTAAAATTATCTTTTAGAAATACATACTTTTAATGACACTATTATGAGGGAAATAAAATAATTTATAAATCTGTATGTTCATTTGCATACTAGTTTATTAATATGTACTCATAGAAAGGAGACAAGAAGCATGTATATAAAAAATAATGATTGTGGGGATTGGTAGTGAAATTTTTGTTGTCTTTAGTTTTATTTTGCAACTTTTCAATAGCCAATATGCCTTTATTTTTCAATTAGAAAGATGGGTTTTTTTATGGAAATGTAGTTGATTTACAGTTTTAGGTATACAGCAAAGTGATTCAGTTATATATAATTTTTCAGATTCTTTTCCATTATAGGTTATTACAAGATGTGGAATATAGTTCCCTGTGGTATACAGTAGGTCCTTGTTGTTTATCTGTTTTATACATGGTAGTTTGTATCTGTTAATCCCAAATTCCTAGTTTATTCCTCCCCCCCTTTCCATTTTGGTAGCCTTAAGTTTGTTTTCTATGTCTGTGAGTCTATTTCTGTTTTTTAAATAAGTTCATTTGTCTCATTATTTTAGATTCCACATACAAGTGATACCCTATGATATTGGTCTTTCTCTAACTTACTTCACTTAGAATGACAATCTCTAGAAAAATGTTATTTTAAAAGTTCTGTTTGATATAGAATATGGTATGGTCTTTCTGTATCATCCACTTTTTAGTAAGCATTATTGACATGACAAATAAATAAATAGATGCTTATGAATTTCAATTATTAAATTTAGGGAGTCTTTCTCTACACGCCACATTTGAAAAGTTGGGTCATTGTTAATTTAAGACTTAATAATGGTCATGGACTTCAGAGTTGACAGGAACTTCAAAAGCTCGTCTGGTTCAATCTCTGTAAGTAACTGATGTTTTATGAAGTAAAGTGATTTCGTGGAGGTTTGATAGTTAGTTAATAGCAGAATCAGGGCTAATTTCCATTGTAGGGTTTTTTGATACTACTCCAAGCTGCGTACTTCTTTGAAGAGGTCTGGAGGTAACTTATAGGTTAATAGGCCATTACTAAATTAAAGATTTAGGGGTTCATTAGAATTAAGTAAGAAAGGAAGCAGGACTAGATGCTACTAGCTATCTTCGATTGTAAAACTGGGCAGAAAATTAAGATTTCTGTTGTTGAGACAAAACTGAAAACACTTCCAGCTAGAATAAGCATGCATTTTTATATTTACAGAGGCACACTTTGGGGGAGTATTTATCATAAATAGGGTTTTACTGTGTGAAAATGCACTCATATATATATTTATAACACATTAAATGACTCATTTGTAATTAACAGTATCAGTTTAACACATTTATGTGCAAATGTCATGGAAAAAGTACTTCTAAGTTAAACATCTGCAATATCGTTTGTATTAATAATTTGCTGAGGAAACCTTATCTTCAAATAGCATAAAATAGTAAGCTCTCGTTCAGCTCAGATCAAAATAAGACAAATTCTATATCAATTTATTCAGAAAAAATGAGTTTTTTTTAAGGGTAGTAGTGATTCATATTCTGGTGTACCCTTAATTCTCTGTGTAAGTCCCTCTTGTAGCTTCCACACTAAACTCAGCCAAATCAGGCAAAAGTGGGCAAAGGTAGCCCATTTGGGTCAATCACATTTTCACTCCACCAGCATTTCCACTTCATCAAGAATGCCCCAGAATTCTTTTTCTTTTCAATTTATTTATTTATTTTTGGCTGCATTGAGTCTTTGTTGCTGCGTGCAGGCTTTCTCTAGTTGCAATGAGCGGGGGCTACTCTTCGTTGCGGTGCGCGGGCTTCTCTTTGCGGTAGCTTCTCTTGTTGCAGAGCACAGGCTCTCGGCACGCGGGCTTCAGTAGTTGCAGCACGTGGGCTCAGTAGTTGTGGCTCACAGGTTCTAGAGCGCAGGCTCAGTATTTGTGGCGCACAGGCTTAGTTGCTCCGTGGCATGTGGGATCTTCCCAGACCAGGGCTCAAACCCGTGTCCCCTGCATTGGCAGGCGGATTCTTAACCACTGCACCACCAAGGAAGTCCCAGAATTCTTGATGAAAGGAGGTAATAATTAGAATTGATTATTCATCTCATCTCAAGATGCAATCAGGATTAATCCTATTATTCTCTTCATCCAAAATTATTTTAATCTTCACAAGAAGCCCAAGATCCAGTCTCATCCTCAGACCCCTCCATTGTGCCTATGAGACACATTACTTTTCACGGGTAAAATCCCTATACGCTCATCACGATAGGTCTGTGAAAGTATCTTTACCTTCTTCTACTAGAGCGTGGATACTCCCTGAGGATACTGATTCCACAGAAAATGATTCCTTTCCTTTCACACTCACATACAGTTGAGTTGGGGGAAGGGAGTTAGTGTTCTTATTTTTAGTCGCTGCTTCTGGAAGGTTGCTTCTTCCTTTTTCCGCAAAATGCCCAGAGACTTTGAGTTTTCGTCATCTACTCCAGCCAGATTGTGCAGGGGCACAGGAGTGCCTGCACAGTAACTTCCAATCTGACGGGAACACCGGACCTCTTCTTGCTAAGCCAGAAGCCCTGGCTCAGGGATGCATCCTGTTGAGTGAGGTTCCTGTTTCTAAGGGGTTCAAAGGAACCATTCACTTCCAAGTTGACCTTCTGCATGGCAGTGTCTGTCCAGAGGGGGTGCTGGGGTGATTTGTTTTTTTCTAAAAAAAGAAAAAGAAAAACAAAAGCATCGTATGGGCTGGTGGTTCTGGCTTGTCATGCACAGATGTCTGGGTGCCTCCCCCACTTTCCTCAAATCTTTTACGATCTGATTTATGGCTGCTCTCTCCAAGACTACCACTATCATAACCTTGGTGACTCTTCACCTCAGATTTTTCCTTCCGTGCTTATTATCCAACATCTGCACTGGTTCCACAATCTCCAGGCATTCCCCTCTCTGACTTCTACTGCCTGCGCTTCAAGCACATTCACTCCAGTATCTAAACTCCAAACACGTTTGACTCTGCTGGGATTTCCAGGCCCTTGACCATTCTTTACCTTATATCCTCTCTTCCTTCCTTACTCAGTTTAGATTCCATGATCCATCATAGAAATCACTCCTTAAAGCACATCTCTGATTATCTTACCCCTGTCTCCCTTTGTCCTACTTTCTGGTTGAAACGCCAACCCTGGCTAAAGTTCAACTCTCTGTTTGTTCTTCACCTTCAGCCGAACAATTGAATATAACTGAAGAAAAACAAACTATGAGACTGATTAGTCTCACTTTCATATGATGACCACAAACCCTATAGAGGCCTTAGGGTTAATCGTGATCCTACTGCATTTCCTTAGTCCAGAGATTGGCCCTCTTCTAGGTGACTCTTTCCCATTATCTCCAACCAAGCAACACCTCATCATATCTTCACATGTTCCACTTCTTATTTCAGGAGAAAACAGAAGCAATCTGATAAATTCATACACGTTCCCACCAATAAATATGTAATAAATATGTACACAGTTTACTCTTTACCTGCCTTTTCCCCCACACTTAACATTTAATGAACATCCAATGCTATGCTGGGCATCAGTGATACAAAAGTAAAAAAAACAGTTAAAATTTATAAACAGTCTATAGTAGAGAAAAAGAGAAAATTGACATTATTGAAATAAATGCAACTTGTGATTCATTCTAACGGTGAGACAAGGTACTTGGAAAGCCTAAGGAAAGAGATAACTAACTTAGCCTGAGGAAGGAAGGATCCTAAGAGGAACAAACATTTGGCAAAGGGCAGTTGATGAAGATGATTATAGGATATAAAATCAGAGAAAACAGGATATAAAAAGGCATTCTACGTGCTTGTAAGGTTGATAGGGTCTCATGATATTTACCATAGTTGAGTCCAACTTTTCCACTTGTGTACTAGATCTTATCCCTTCACCTACTAAAGGGCTTCACAGATACAATTACCTCCATTTATCCTATATCATCCATTTTCCCCGATACACTGGATAATTCTCACAAGAATACAAAACTGTGATACATCTTATTTTAAACCCTTTAATATTACCGTGAGGCTGGGTGAAGGGAACACGGGATCTCTGTAATACTTTTGCAGCATCTTAGGCATCAACTGTCATTTCAAGATTAAAACTTAAAAATATAATAATCTTTGCTTGACCCAAATCTATGTCTAGCGGCACCTTATTTATCTACTCCTTTTATAGTAAATCTCCTATAAAGAACTGTGCATACTTACTGTTTCCACTGCTCCTTCAATTCTCCTGAACACACTCCAATGACTTTAGTCCCCACTACTCTGTTGAAACTGACTGTTAGTGTCTTCAATGGCCACGTTATTGCCAAAGTCAATCCATAATTCTCAGTCCTTATCCTATCCTGCCTTTCAGCCTCGTGTGACACAGCTGATCACCATCTACAAACTCTGACATACTTTGGCTACCTGGACTTCAGAGATAGAGGAGCAACACTTTTTCTTTTTCTCCATCCTCTTCTCTTCGACTTATTTTGACTAAACTTTGAAGTGCCCAGGCCTCAATCCTCGGATCCCTTTCTCTCTCTCTCTCCCTTTCTCTCTTTCTCTCCCTTTCCCTCCCTCTCTCTCTCCCCCTCCCTCCCTCTCTCCCCACTCCCTCTCTCCCCCCTCCCTCTCTCCCTCCCTCCCTCCCTCCCTCCCTCTCTCTCTCTCTCTCTCTCTCTCTCTCTCTCTAATCTCACCCATTTTCTTGACTTCCAGATTCACATCCCCAGTGTCACATTCTCCCCTACACTGCTGACTCTCATTTTTACCACCTACTCCACACTTCCACCTGTATGTCAAATAGACACCTCACAGTAAACATGTTGATGGGGCTCAGGACATGCTACCCCAAATAGGGCATCTTGACATATTAAATACCTTAAACTGCAGGAATTTTCTAAAAGGCAGAAGCAGGAAGGGCACTCTGACCTTTCCCCCCTCTCCTCTTCTCTGAAACAGGTCATGAAACTCCTACGTGAAAGATACCGTCCCTGTATCTGGAAGAGGGAACACATTCTTATCACCAGAGACAGGGAATCACGGGCTGAAAAATCTTGCTTTCACAAGATTAGCAAACCTTGTTAAACTAACCTTCATCTTCCTAGCTACCACTTCACCACTTACTACCCCTCAACCAAATGCCTTAGTCTTGTCAATTCTTCAAAATGGATTGTTTGTTTGGAAGGTATAAAAACTTCCTGCTGTGGTCACTTCTTCAGGTCTTCATTGTCTTGTGAAAACTCCCATATACATAAAAATTTAATACAATGTACATGCTTTTCTCCTGTGAATCTGTCTTTGTCAGTTTAATTTTCGGACCCCACCCAGACGCTTAGAGGGTCAAGGAAAGCTTTTCCTCCCCAACAATGTCTAGAGCAGAGCTCTTGATTCATCTGCTCCCTTCCTTACACCCCCAAACTAGCTCTTCCCTCACTGTTCTCTACATAGGATGGAGCAGGGCCACTTACCAAGTTTGTCAAGCCCCAAATCCCAAAGGAGTCTTTAATTCAGATGTGCATCTCACCATCCATTCCATTCCATTAGGAAATCCTTTGTTCTCTGTCTTCTAGATGAATCCAGAATCAGCCCACTTCTCACAGCCTGGGTCTAAGCCCTCAGCAGCTCTCTCCTGTGCTGTCGCAGTAGCCTCCTAGCCAGTGGTCCCGCGGTCACCGCTGCTCCCATACAGGCTTTTCTACAGTGTTCAGAGTGATACTTTAAACACTAAAGTCATGTCAATCATGATTTAATATCATATCAATCTTACGTTCCAAAACCTTCTAATGAAATCCCATGACACTTAGAATAAAATCCAAAACCTTTGTCATAGACTAAAAATACCTGCATAAAAGACTTTTCAGACCTAGTTAGCTGCCATCCCCCTTCTTTACCTACACTGCCTCAGTACTGTTGCTTAAACACAGTGGGTACCATTTTGCCTCAGAACCTTTGCATTTATTGTTTCCTCTGCATGGAATGGTCCCTCCTCTCCTCCAGCCCTAATATCTGCATCATCTGTTTCACACATCCTTTTAGATCTTTGCCCAAATATAACCTTATTTGAGGTGGTCAGACCTTTTGGAACTGCTCTCTGTAAAAGACAATATCCTCCCAATCTGGGGTCCCTCTCTTTCTCTACTTTGCTTTACTTCCTTCAGATCACTGATCACAACCTAATATTTTCTCTATTTATTTGTTTTTTTATTGTCTTCATCCTCTATTAGAAAGTAAGCTGAATGGGGAATTTTTCTCTTCTGTTCACTGTACCAAAGCTAATGCCTAGGCAGTGCTTAGCGTATAGTAGGTGCTCAAGGAGTATTTTTGGATGACTGATTCACTAATTGAATTAATGAATGAACTTTAAGGCCCAGCTCTACCAGGACACAGTTTACTCTTTACCTGCCTTTTCCACCACACTTAACATTTAATGAACATCCAAATGCTATGCTGGGCATCAGTGATACAAAAGTAAAAAAAAACCGTAAAAATTTATAAACAGTCTATAGTAGAGAAAAAGAGAAAATTGACATCTATTGAAATAAATGCAACTTGTGATTCATTCTCACAGTGAGACAAGGTACTTGGAAAGCCTAAGGAAAGAGATAACTAACTTAGCCTGAGGAAGGAAGGATCCTAAGAGGAACAAACATTTGGCAAAGGGCAGTTGATGAAGATGGTTATAGAATATAAAATCAGAGAAAACAGGATTTAAAAAGGCATTCTACGTGCTTGTAAGGGTTGATAGGGTCTCATGATATTTACCATAGTTGGAAAAATAAAGTAAAATCAGTGCTGAAATCTAAGCAGGCAAATATAATTTGGTCTTTGGCCGATTTCTATCCTTTTATTCCTTCTTCATCTTTCTGCTTGTTATTTGCAGAGACTCGTTTTCAAGAGACCTAATTTGGGAAAATTGATTTTCAGAGTCAGAAAATTTCAAGGTCATTTGGAATAAAGACCTAAGAGACATATATATTTAGGATTCCCTTTACCTATAGGTATCTAAATACTGACTTTTTTTAGATGTCTGTGCTTCCTTAGGGTACCTCACTCTATGCTTTGTGGTTTTTTTATTTTTAATTGAAGTGTAGTTGATTTACAACATTATATTAGTTTCAGCTATACAGCACAGTGATTCAATATTTTTATGGATTATACTCCATTTAAAGTTACTACAAAATAATGACTGCATTTCCCTGTGCTGTACAATATAGTCTTGTTGTTTATTTTGTACACAGTAGCTTGTATCTCTTAATCTCTTATCCCTATTTGCCCATCCCCTCTTCCCTCTCCTCCCTGGTAGTTTGTTTTCTTTATGTATCATTTTGTTATATACATTTGTTTGTTTTATTTTTTAGTTTCCATATATAAGTGATGAAACAATATTTGTCTTCCTCTGACTTATTTCACTAAGCATAATACTCTCTGGGTCCATCAACGTTGTTGCAAAGGTCAAAATTTCTTCTGCCGTGTAACAAAGTGAATCAGCTTTACATAAACATATTTCCCCATATCCGCTCCCTCTTGCGTCTCCCTCCTACCCCCCATCCCACCCCTCTAGGTGGTCACAAAGCACCAGCTGATCTCCCCATGCAATACAGCTGCTTCCCACTAGCTATGACTAATATTCCATTGTGTGTGCACATGTGTGTGTGTGTGTGTGTGTGTGTGTGTGTGTGTGTGTGTGTGTGTGTGTGTATACCACATCTCCCTTATCCATTCATCTGTTAATGGACACTTGGGTTGCTTCCATATTTTGGCTATTGTAAACAATGCTGCTATGAACATTGGGGTGCATGTATGTTTTTGAATCAGTGTTTTTGTTTTTGGATATATACCCAGGAGTGGGATTGCTGGATCATATATATGCTAAAAATAAGGTGTTCTATAAAATATAAAGCTCTCTTAAAATTTTGTTAATACTTAGCATGACACATAGTTAAAACAGTAATATTTAGTGAAGTGTGACAATATTTGGAAATATGAACCAAGGTTTTATACCTGTGTTTCCTTTTACTACTTAACCTTTCTCCAATTTGAGTACTCAGGGCATTAAGCTCTCAATGCCTTAGGGAAGAGATTTAATATAATACAAGTGGAGGGAAAAAGAGCCATCTCTACCTTTTTATTGCCGAAAGCAAAAGCCTCCAGGGGAGGTGTGGCCCAAACAACAGATTCAAAACACCTCTGAAAAACTCAGAGGAGGGTTCCCTGTCTAGAGACAAATTTTGCTTCTCCCAGATTGGTGTGGGAAGCTCGTTAGAAGGAAGCCAGGAGAGAGTAAACTGCTGGATTTGTGAGAAACTGCTCTCTCCATTTGGTGCGAGTCCAACACCCATTGCAGAAATGCAGAATCCTAGGTAGTTTTGCAGAGCCAACAGGAGCAGAAACTATGCCCCTACAGCCTGCTACAAAAGACAGAGCAAGGGCAGTCATACACACGCTCAAGGGTGACCTACAAGTTAATAGGGTGTTAATTCCACAGAATTCCCATGGCTAGTGTTATCTGGGAGCAAGAAAATGATGCTTATGCACTAAGGAGAGGCACCAAAATGGCAAGGGCAAAAGCCCACCAGGCCTTGAGGTTAGGAATGAGGGACAATGCAAGTCAGCCTTACAGCCTTAAAAGGGACAATACGAGTCCTGGATGAAGGACCAGAGGGCATGAGGATGTGACAGTGGATACATAATACAGTGGATAAGCAATTTTAAAACCAGTGAACAGATCAGACCTCCCCCACGCTCAACCTTTGATCTCCTCTTAAAGAACTAGAACCAAAATGAAAACTGAGGACAACTGAGGTTAAAAATAGAAAGTGAATTCAGTGACAGAGAAGGAAAGGAAGTTCTACTTCGTATGCCTTTGAGTTGTGGGCTAAGAATTGGACTTGCGACATTTGTTTTCACACACACATACTGCCATAAGCAAATGTCTAAACGTTTACAAGTCGTGTCTGTTTGTTACAAATCCAAACATACAATCGTCTCTTACTTTGGGAATTGAGCACAAAGGATAGTAGGGATTTCCTCAACTTGGCTCATTCATTATCTTTTTAAATCTACATGTTCTTAGTGATATTTGAGAAACAGTCAATGTTTTTTGACAGAGAAACTCACAAGAGTGGATACAGGAATGCAAAGGGCCTCCGACTGTTTTCCTCTTAAATGAGTTTTAGGCATTTAATTTATGTAAAAATGGTATGAGATCAACTGAGAAGACAGGTCTAAGTTGCCATCATGAAAACAAAGTTTTTAAGTTCCCAGAGCTAAGATCCTACTTAAAATACAGACCATCGAAGACTGAAAGCATTTGTCAGGCTTTAGGAGAAGCATATTTGAGTGTTAGAAGAGCTTTAGCATATTATTATTACTAACAATGCAGCATTTGAATGCTGATCTCAGAGAAGCCATCCACTTGGCAAACAAATCAGCAACTCCCGTCTCCAGAGCAGCTGAGATGAGTGTCAATACCCTGACGAGGCAGATTAATTTCCCGTGAACACGTCATTAAAGCCAGCTCTGTATGCAACACGCAATGTCTCGGCAATCAAAGATCTGTGGCGTCCCGAATATGCAAGGGCAGCAGCTAAGATACAATTTACTCCTTACTGAAGGAAAAGTGATCACCCAGGCACAAAATCCTGTGGAAAAGGAAACATGCAGGATGGGGCCACCTGAGGTTTTGAGTCACTTGCTTTTATCGTATTTCTCGGGACTCGGCTGCTGTGTTTTGTATTTCCCTTGAGATTAGCTGTGACGGACCACTGGGGAGATTTGGAAGGTGTCCTCTAAGTATTTATGCAGAAAAGTATGGAAATGTCAAAAGAGTCAAATGGGTTTTATATGCTTCTTGCATGTTCTCATATAGTGCCTTAATTTAAAATAGCATCTACTGCACAGTATGCAATGTATTAACCAGCTGGAATCTATGGTCCTTGAGATTGAGAGAAAAGAGGCAGCCACATGAAAATCAAGAATAATAGAAGCCTAGTGTGTTGCCCATCCAACAGAGAGCTGCCTGGGGATACTTTATCAGAGGAGTCCACAGAGCTCTATGACCACAGAGGAAGTCCCCGAAGAAAAGCCACACTGTGGCTCTCACTACATTTTGTGTCTTTCATGCAGAAGATCAAATTTGTTGCTGTGATTCAATGCACTCATTGCTCTGTCATTAGAAAAAGGATTTCGGAGTAGCTCTTATACTTGAACTCTCTAATTCACTGTTATGTGATAATCTAACTAAGTTATTGGGAAAAGGAGGGGCTCTAATTTATTGAATACCTGGTATAAGTCAGATCCCTTGCTAAATATTTGCATGTGTTAATTCCTTAAGCATCTGAAGTAGATATTACCTCCTGCTTACAGATAAGGAAAATGGGGTTAAGAATGTTCCTGGTCACAGAACCAAACAAATAACAATGCTGAGTCTCAAAGCTAGGTCTTTTGGACTCCAAAGTCCTTGTTTGTGCTACTGTGCCGCGTTCTCCCTTTTCTTAAAGACAGAGTAGTAGTAAATATAACCTTAACAGTAGAGACACCGAGTTGAGGGGAATATGTATACCTTGGGGTGCAGCGTTAGATGACCTCCGTGGGAAATCAGACACATGCTCATTTCCCAGGAGCCCCACTGCCAGCATCCCCTGCCTGGTGGGTTGATATCTCTTGTCCAGATTGTTCAGAGGAGCTAATGTTATCCCTTGAGAGGGCCTCACAAGTTACCAGCTGAAAAAGGAACAGAAAACAAATCCACTGAACATTTAAACACAAAACTAACAGAGGAATAGGCATCAGCGGCTCTCTGTAAAAGGAAATTACACCAAACTAACCTCTGTCGGTTCGTGGAGTAGGTAAATAAAATGCAGATAAGGGAGAACAAGGGGTCCTAGTTGGAAATGGATTTGAGGCTTTCAAATTTCTGTCTCCAGTGAGAACCGTTGGGCAATAGAATTACCATAAGTCCTGCAGCCTATTTTGCCATGCCTAGGGAGCCTTAGCAAAGATGGAAGCCAGTGGAGAAAAGAAAGAGATACTTTATATCATGGAGAAATGTGAGTGGTATGGTATCCCAGGATTAACGCTTGGAAAAACTTTAGTTTTAAAATTTTATGCATAATTGTAAGGAATAAAAACTCCACATCGCACACAACAACAGATTCTAATTTGAAATACTAAGATAACAAGCTGGTAAATTTCTCCAAATCATGTGAATGGGCTGGAAGATGAGAGATGAATTCGAAGTAGTCAAGAATTAACTAGCATATATTCAGTCATTCACGTTTTAGGTTTGAGGCCAGACACTAGAAATAAACAAAAGGTTCCAGCAACAAATTAATTCATGACCCTTGGTTTGTAAGTGCAACATTGTGATCTGTGGTGCCAGATAATTTGAATAAAGTGGATAGAAGTTTCTTTCTCTAAAGGGTATAAAGTATAGATACAAACAAAGAACTATAATACAACATGGTAAGTATAAGGACAGATACACACAAAGAATGCTTAGCATAGGGCTTCTCTGCCGTAGTATTACTGGCATTTTAAGTTGGATAATTTTTAGTTGCTGGGGAGTGTCCTGTGCATTGTAGACGTTTAGCAGCATCCCTGGCCTCTGCACAACAGATGCCAGTGGCACTGCCTCCCTACCAAATTTTGACAGCCAAAAATGTCTCCAGACATCGCCAGATGTCACAAAGGAGGGATGTGAAATGGCTCTCCCTTGAGAACCTCTACTGCTTAGCAGTTTGCACAAGGGGCATCTAACTCAGCCCCGAGATGATGGTGGGGGAGGGGGCAATCCAGGGGGAAAGAGAGGGGTTGGAGGCTGGAGGAAGGCTTTTGGTGGTGATGCCTAAGCAAAGGTGTTGAGAGCGAGTAGGTGGTGGCCAGCCAGAGGGAAGACATACCAGATCAGATGCATTCCTGAAAGCAGAAGGTAGAAAAAACTCCGGTTCCTCAGTTTGGAAATTCAATGTGCTCTACTTTGTTGGACATTTATTGAGTGCCTGCCATATGCCAGGTGCTCAGAAGACAAAAGTTCAAACGAGCTCCCAGCCCAGTTAAGCGATCCCCAGTCTCAACATCTCCCCACACTTGTGTATTGTAATATCGTGATTGTGGGGTTTGTCTTACACAATTTGTTACTAATACTTCATTTTAAAAAATGTTTGGTGGTGGTTTACTATCACCAATAAGTTATCCCTGGAGTGAAATCATTCTCATTCCCTGGCTTTCTGACGTTTGTTTTGAGTGATGGGTAAAGGGGTGGCGTTCAAGGAAGGCTATCTTACTGGGAAACATGGTTCATCCTAAATTTGCCTCATTTATGATACAGCTCAGAGATGATTGCCCGAGTGCTTATTATTAGTTTTGGTGGACAAAAGCCTGAGATCTATTTAAATTAGGGGAGAGAGACAACTAAAACAGAGTGTAATAAAACGGAAATAGACTTGCAGACATATTATAGAAAACAAACTTATGGTTACCAAAGGGGAAAGTTGGGGGGGGGGAGGGATAAATTAGGAGGTTGGGATTAACAGATACAAACTACTGTATATGTAACAGATAAACAACAAGGACCTACTGTATAGCACAGGGAACTGTATTCAATGTCTTGTAATAACCTATAATGCAAAAGCATTCTGAAAAAGAATATATATAACTGAATCACTTTGCTGTACACCTGAAACTCATGCAACATTATAAATCAACTATACTTCAATAAAAATAATAATTAGTTAAAATAGAGTATGGGCAGAAGATCTAAATACACATTTCTTCAAAGGAGGCATACAGATGGCCAATAGGCACATGAAAACATGCTCAGCGTCGCTAATTATTAGAGAAATGCAAATCAAAACTACAATGAGGTACAACCTCACACCGGTCAGAATGGCCATCATTAAGAAGTGTACAAACAATAAATGCCGGAGAGGGTGTGGAGAGAAGGGAACCCTCCTACACTCTTGGGGGGAATGTAAATTGGTACAACCACTATGGAGAACAGTATAGAGTTCCTTAAAAAGCTAAAAATAGAGTGATCCAGCAACCCCACTCCTGGGCATATATCCACAGAAAGCCATAATTTGAAAATATACATGCACCCCTATGTTCACTGAAGGACTGAAGTTCACTGAAGCACTATTTACAGTAGCCAAGACGTGGAAGCAACCTAAATGTCTATCAACAGAGGAATGGATAAACAAGATGTGGTACATATAGACAATGGAATATTACTCAGCCATTAAAAAGAATGAAATAATGTCATTTGCGGCAACATGGATGGACCTAGAGATTATCACACTAAGTGAAGTAAGCCAGACAGAGAAAGACAAATACCATATGATATCACTTATATGTGGAACCTAAAAATGACAGAAATAAACTTATTTACAAAACAGAAATAGGGCTTCCCTGGTGGCGCAGTGGTTGAGAGTCTGCCTGGTGATGCAGGGGACACGGGTTTGTGCCCCGGTCCGGGAGGACCCACATGCCACGGAGCAGCTAGGCCCGTGAGCCATGGCCACTGAGCCTGCACATCTGGAGCCTGTGCTCCGCAACGGGAGAGGCCACAGCAGTGAGAGGCCCGCGTACCGCAAAAAAACAAAAAAAACAGAAATAGACTCACTGACAGAGAAAACAAACTTATGGTTACCAAGGAGGAAAGGGAGTAGGGATAAACTGGGAATTTGGGATTAACATATACACGCTAGCATATATAAAATAGATAACCAACAGGGATCCACCATATAGCACAGGGAACTATACTCAATATTTTGTAATAACCTATAAGGGAAAAGAATCTGAAAAAGAATATATATGTATTATATATATATACACACTTGTATAACTCAATATCATTTTGCTGTACACCTGAAACTAACACAAAGGTATAAACCAACTGTACTGTAACAGAAAAAGAACTTATACTCCACTAAAAAAAAAAGTGTGAAACTCACCCACATATTTTTGACAGTTTTTATCTCTTCTTTTGGTTTCTTTGGTATCGTCTTTCCTAGTTTTCCTTCTTCCCCTTCAACCATTTTCTATCTTAACCTCTCTTGGCATTTTCTGTGGTTCTGGTCTGTTTTCAGCACACGATTTTCTGAGAGCCCACTGTGTGAGGCTACTATTTCAGGCAGTTTTGGTGTTGTTCAGGGATGCCTGCATTTATGTATCGACATTAGTGGCTCAATAACTTGGGGGTGAGATGGAGACTATGAAAAATGTGTCTATTTAGTTTTGGTGGTGTTGCTGCCCCCCTCACATTCCCTGGGGTGATCTTGCGGCCACACTCAAAACCATGGCAGGAGGGAAGAGCTGCTGATGAGGGGCATATGCCTTAAGCTTCCAGCATATTGGGCAAAACAACAACAACAAAAGAGGTTTAGAATCCTGTTTTGAAATACGCTTCTAGAACAATCATCCAAACCTGTGGCTTCAAATACCACCTACACCTTGCTGACTGACTCTCTGACTCATCCAGACCTTCCTCCCAAGCCCCAGAACCATCTCTACATGTTCTGGGATGTCCCCCAGGTACCACTACAAACTGAGCACATCTGGAAATTCATATATTATTTATTCCCCAAATCTCCTGTCTCCTCCTACAGTTTCTACATCAGTTAAAGTCACAACCCTCCGTCTAGTACCTCAGCCAGAGATCTGCTCATCTGACATTCCACCCTCCGTTGTTCCTACTTGTCACTCACCGAGAGCTGAATATTCTATCTTCTTAATATATTTTCTGTCATCCTATCCCCTCTTTCTCTTTCTCATTGACTTATTTTTAAAAACTGCAGACTGCCTTTGCTCTTTTGGTCTTCTACATGGTTCTCATAGAACAGTCAGATCAAGTCACATCCCAGCTTACAACCTTAAAATTCCGTTATTTCCCTATAGCTGTAAAATAAATTGATCCTTGCCGCCCAAATCCTCTTACATTTTGTCATTCCTATCATATATCTGTCTGTCTTCAACACCAAGACCACAAACCTAGCCCAAATCACTGTCATGTCTTGCCTGGGCAAATAAAGTCTCGCTTTTGTTTTCTCTGTGGTCGTGCTTCTCTCCTCCTAATCTGTCCTCCACATGGTGCCCAATGTGATCATTTAAAAATATCATCCCTCTGTAAAACCCTTAATAGCTTCTCTGTGAACTAAGGACAAAATACAGTCTTTAACTTGCCCACAAGTCACTGCATGATACAGCCCCTCCCAGCCACCCAATCTGACCTGCGTTCCCTCTCCAGCTCCTCGGGATACTCCAGCCACAATGCTTCCCTTCAGGTCTGCAAATGTGCCTCTGGTTCCTCCTTTCCCCAGGGTCTTCCCACACACTGTTTTCTCTGCCTAAAATACTCTTCCCTCCACGTTTTCCCCAGCTAAGTCTTACTCATCCTTTGGGTATCATCAGACCAAATAACTTGTGGTTTTTCAAAAATGCTGGGCTATTTATGTCACCATTCCTTGCTATTTTTTTTTTTTCACTTGAAATAGTCTTTCTCCCACCCGACATCACATTACTCTGTCCTAAAGAACTTGGTTCATTAGGCGTTTTCTCATTTGGGAACACTTTCTGGAAACCTTAGGCTGATGGATATCCCTCCTCCGTCATCCTGGGGACTGGGACCGAACTCTACCTCGTTTCAATTAAAGTCTCCAGAGACATTTTTCTATATTGAATTCCTCCGTAGTCGTGAACATATTAACCAGCCACATTCATTCAGTAAATACTCCGGTAAGAACGCAGTGCCGACTTTCCTGGGAATTTAGTTTTGAAAGTTGGAACTTTGCTTTTATTGCTCAAATTTAGTGATTTTTTTTTCCAGCGACCCATAGCACAAAAATCATAAGGACCACTCGCTTAATTGAACTTATATTTCCATCTCTTTGGAGTAAAATTAGTTTGGATGAATCTGAGTTTTGCTAGACTCTTTTTTTTTTCTTTTTAAGATTTGAAGAGGGTTCTAGGAGAAGGGGAGAAATTAAGTTTGTTTTGCTTATGTTTATTATTGTTTTTGTTTCGATAACTTCATATTTTCGGGGCTCTCAGGCAAAAATCTTTGCTCTCCCTTGTATTTCACTGCCTCTGAGTCTACCAGGAGTCCCTGCTAATCCGTCTTCACAGGGACGCAGGGCTTGTTTCTCTTTCTGCACATGACAGAGGCCCTGGAGCTTTCTGCGGGAACAACTCCTGGGGACAGAATTTCTCCTGGGGAAGGTGGGAGTGGTTTTCCTCAGGCAGCCCTACCACATGGTTGGCATTTTCAAACTGCTCCACCTAAACTGACTCAGTGACCCCCTTTACTATCTGCAGTATTCAGTAACAATTATGAGAATGGACTCCAACAAGAATCATACTGGTGAAACATATTCCGATTCATCCTTAGAAGTCATTACAGCTTTGAGCTCTGTCACCCTCTCTCTTTCTCTTTCTTTTCCTTCCTCTTTGGCATCTAATCAATGTATTAGACTTGTATCTATGTCCATTTTTCAACGTTTGCTTTTAGTTCTCTTTAAATATGTTTTCTGTCTCAGTACTTTTGTTTTCTTTCTCAGGAATATCAATTTCATATACATTGAATCACTTCTGTATATTTTTCATATGCTGTTATTTTCGCTGCTTCTGTTAAACTTCTTGTTCGTTTCCGTTTTACTTCCTTTAAAAATCCCTCATGTCTTCCTGGCTCGGGGCAGTGTCATTTCTCCTTTGTGCTGACGCTAACGTGGCCTTCACGTGTGTGATCACTTTGTTTTCCCCCGATCTCTTGACGCCTCATCTGCACAGATGCTTCTCCACTCAGCCTCTCTGACTCACTGGTTCATGCAAATGTGGCTTCTTTCTCTTGACACTCGCATTCATCATATGAAGCGTGATACTTTCATCAAGAATGTGGTTCCTGCTGTCAATCACCATTTGGTAATCAGTCGAACAATGTGTTTTGAAATGCACACTCTATCACACCATGGTTGATCCTCTCTTGCAAGGGATAGTTTATTTTCTTTCTTGACAAATTGTTTATAAATTCTCCAGGATGATTATACGGTGAGAAGGAAGCAGAGAAGGTTTTACAGACGAGGAGACATCTAAATTTGATTTTGAAAGATTAGGAGTTTTCCGGGACAATAAGGCTGGACACAGGATGGCTAAGCCAATAGAACGTTGTAAACAACCCCGGCACTCATGCTTATCAGATTTTAATGATTCCCCTTGAATCACGGGCCATCTTTGAACTGGTCACAGTGTTCTCCATGCCTGAGTCTCGCTTATATGCTGATGCTATTTGGTCCCTGGGATGAGGCCGATCTCACCCCAGATGACATGGACAATAAATGGGAAAGAAATGACTTTATAATAAATAATCAACTAGAAAAAATGGGAATGGATGTTAGGAAGGAAAAAACGATACATATCTAATGTGATCTAACTCCTGACCACTTACCATGCACATGAATTCTTCTTTCAATGTACAGAATTTCAAAAACTTTTCCACCTAATTTTATGCAGTTGTGCCGTCTACAAGAGATTATGTATTCACTCCCTCCCAAGCAGGAGAAAACCGAAGTCATATCCAGGGGCATTGAACTCCAAGTCCAGGAAAACGTTTATCCACCTTCATCACAGTCAGTGTAGTTCCTCAGAGTCTGGGGACCTGCACTGAGATAAAGCTCAGTGCAGCCACTTCCAAAACACCCACCGCCTGGTAGAGGGAAAGCAGGCATATGCAAATAGAAACTCACATTTGCAGTTCACAGCTCCACAGATCATTGCACATTCTGCCACAGCGAGCAAACAAAAGTTGACCAACCTTGCTTCTCATATGTCTTCTTCTTCTTCATTGTTCTCTGTGTCCACGTGAGAGATGGGTACTGAGAAGGGGCTCGTCTGAAGACTGTGCCTCTCTGGGCGCAGATTTGGAAGTCTGAGGAACATCTTAGCATGTTAGGTCTTTGTTTTCTAGGCTCTGTGTTTACCTGGCGGTTTTAGTCAATTTTGATTTGTTTACTCATGTTAACCAAAGTCAGATCTTATCCCATGGCTGTCCTTAAACAATGGCTTGGGATGACCCAACTCTTAAAAACTAGGCTCAGCGCTCTCGGTGCAAACCTCAAGCCCTTAGATGAATGGCTCCTATGTTAGCCAACATCTCGGGTCAATGGAAAGCCTTCTGGGAAGAAAGACAGTCTATCCTGCTTACGCGCTGAGTGCCAGCAATGGCCCTTTATGATGGGGTGACTGTCACCATGGACAGACAGCAGGCATTGGTGAGTAGAGCGTCTGGGCCATCAGGAAGTATCTCCTCCTGAACCCCCTCCCACTTTGTTCCACACTCATCTTTGCTCCCATGTCCTTCAGGTTAGGACAGTTTGGCTTTTTTGATCCAACAACGTACACATCTATCTAGGTTTTCAATGACTTTTAAAACTTCTGGCCAATGGCAGATAGACTTACTTGTAACACAATGTATTTTCTTCCATTTTGGTGTTCTTCAGCTTACGTTCTGTCTTTCTCGTCGGATTTTACTGAAAGCGTCAAGGAATTATAATCACAAACCTGACACTCTTTATGAAATTACTCAAGCGCCAGGCTCAGTGAAACACAGGGTTTGTATCTCCAGAGACAGCAGGCATCAGCTGAATCCGTTTCTCCCCCGACATAAAGGAACTGCCCATTTCCCAGTTTGAGACAGGAATATTCTCACTGCCCAGAACTTCATCTTGATGTAGACAAGCCTGTATTTTAGAAGTCATCATGTGTAACATGCTACTTCCAAGTACTAATTTCTGTATTATTTAAGTTTTTTAAAGACGTAAATGACAGAAACTCAATTCAAACTGACTTGCACAAAAAAGGCTTTAAGCTGAATCCAGATGTGCAGTGAGGTTTTCTCCATCTACTGCATCTACTTTGTCCATGATGACTTTATTGTTTGGCAAGGTGTCCCCTAGTCATGGCATAATAGTCTGGTTTGCATCACCCAGATTAGCAGCTTCAGCAAGAAAAGGTTCCCTTTCCCAGTGGTTCTAGAAGAAGTGTTCTGACATTTCCTAGGCGTATTAGTTCCCTATGACTGATATAACAAATTACCACAAACTGAATAGCTTTAAGCAATAGAATTTTATTTTTCTCATAGTTTAGGAGGCTAGAAGTCCAAAGTCAAGGTACTGGCAGGGCCATGTTCCCTCTGAAGTATCTAGGAGACCATCCTTCCTTGCCTCTTCTGACTGCTGGTGATTCCTGGTGTTCGTTTGCTTGTGGCAACATAACTCTAATCTCTGCCTCTGCCTCTGATATCAGATGGCCTTCTTTCCTGTGTCTATGTCCAAATTTTTCTCTTCTTACAAAGATATTAGTCATTGGATGAGGGCACACCCAGTATGACCTCATTTTAACTTGATTCTATCTGTAAAGACCTTATGTCCAAATAAGGTCACATTCTGAGGTTCTGGGCACGTATGAATTTTGGTGGGGACATTGTCAACCCAGTACATGAGGTATCACCAGACTCCTTCTCTGCCTAGAGCCTTTGCACCTGCAAATAACTAAAATTCTCTAATTCTATCAGAACATATTAAATGTCACATCCTCAGAGAGGAGTATAATCTAAGGGAACCTCTTCTCATTATTCTCTATAGTATATCTATTTGGCTTCTTTCTTTGCATTTATCACAATATGTAATTATTTGTTTGTTTACTTTCTCCTTCAGAAGAATACAATATCCCTGAAGTTGCAGAGCCCATGTCTGTTTTATTTATTCTTTTATCCTTAGCATCTGGCATTATTCTTGACACATGGTAGGACATCAATAAAAAGTGATGAAGAAATAAATCAATGGATGAATGAATGTATGGGTGGATAGAAGGATGGATGGGTGGATGGATAGAATAACTGATTATAAACAATAGGCATGTGCTACTTAATTATAGTCATTCAATCAACATTTTGCCTTTTGCAATAAATAATTATCATATTTGTATACTTATCTGTTTGTATCTGAGTTAGTATCTGCAGAAAATATTGAGGGCCTTCGACAGAGGCAATGTCCAGGAGAAAAAAATGAGAACAACCTGGATCCAATACTTGCTCCCAGAAGCATATAATTTAAGATAGAAGAAACAGATTAAAAAAAAAGAAAGAAAACAATAATCACCCTTAGAATTTTTATCTTAATGGTGGTATTAATTCAGCATATTCAAAAAAACTGCAAAGTTTTAGGTTCATATATAGTTCACATTCTTCTAAAGTTTACACTGAGTAGCAGTAAACAAGGCTCTCTTAAAGGGTCTGGCACATAATAAACACTCAATAACTATTAGTTGGATAAATTAATGAATGAATATTTTGTAA